ATAATAAATAGGCAAAAATATTGTAACATCTTCTTAGTTTCTTTCTATCATCAACACATATTTTAGACATATATTCTGATATTTATTTTTTGTTTCTTTTCTTAAAACAGATGACTGGTCTCTGATTAGTTGGTAAGAAAAAAAGAGGCTGTATCAAGCTGTAGTTCCTATTACAGCCTAAGCTACTTGGTCCTGCACATATTGGTTGAAAGAAGCCCTTCAGCATCCACCTCATAGAGAATTTTTAGGTATAAGCAACTGAGAACTGGGTGCAAAGGCCTAAGTAACCAGAGAAACTGTTGGAGGTAGGGGTTGTCCCAGCTTTGGGGCTCCTTGATTTAGGTGTCAATGCAAATTAACCACAGTGCAGGTGGGAAATGGAAATTTCAGTTTTTGGTGTGGCCTCCACATGTCTTCTGTCAATGTAGAAGTCTACTGTGCAAAAAGCATCTATTCTTCTGGTTTTACCCTCAGTGCAAAACATAAGATAAACACACTATTCAAATTGATTGGCAGATTTGGTCACCCAGTTAAAATTAAAGTAATTAAATGTACTGAAAAGCCCATTGCTTTGGAATTACTGACCTTGATTTAAGTTAGTGTTGACTGAGGCCTTTTTTAATCTTGGTTTATATCCCCATATGCTTTGCCCTCGGCCTGTATATTTTAAAAGTTTTATTACATAGTACTGAAGAATAATTAAAAAAAAGCTCTCCTGATACAGTTAAAATTCAATTTGAGGGTGCATGAAACAGTAAGTCACTAAATATTCAAGTTAGGAAAAGCAGAATTTAGCATTGTATTATGCACTAATCTACACTTGCAGGATATTTCAGAAAAGTATAGTCAGTGAAAAATAGGCTTTGTCTTTTTTCAGACAAAAGTTTCAAATTCCAGCTTCTTCAGTTACTATTACTCAGACATATTCTCAATGAAAGCAGAAACAATTCAATGAAGCTATGCAAATAGATGAGACACAATCTGTGCATGTGTATTTGTGCTTTTGACTAGCCTTCAGCACAATACTGATTAGAAGGTGGGCACTTTTGCCAGATCCTCACCTAGTGTAATTTGACTTCCCTGAAGCCACAAAACCCAGTGTGAATCATATGTACTGCACTCTGTTTAGTTCAACTTTTTTTTTAGTGTTCTTTCATCAAATAATATTGCTTTTTCTTTCTTTTTTTCTACCCCACAGGACAACATTTTTAGAATGGAAGATTCACATTTTGAAAATGGCCGAGGGAAAAGCCCTTATGATCCTAAACTGCTGACAGCTTCTCTTTTAGTAGGTAGGTGCCACAATACAAGTTCAATGAGACGTGCATTCACTGTAAATAATAGCCAGTTTTCTGCTTTTTTTCTCCTTGCAGTACCTATGATAGCGCTTTTTTTTATGAATTTTATTTTCAGGCTAAAGTAATTTTGATTTCATTTTTAATACAGTTGACCCAGGTGTCTTGAGAAACAAGGTGTGTGTAAACCAAGAATCAAGTATCACAAGAGCCACTTTATACCTCTGTAAGACCTTGATTCTGCAAAGTGTTTCTCCTCCCCAGAGCTAGGTGACTCTGGAGGTATTTTAATCACCCAGTTTACAGAATGGCCTCACTGACGGTTGCACCAGCACAGCTGAGAGAAAAGTGAGAGCAGGAATAAGTAATTTCTTACACCAGTTTTGCTGCCGAGGACGGTCTATCACCCAATTGTACCTGCATGTGAGCTGGAGATACACAAGCGTTCACAGGTCTTTAGGCCTTAAGATGATGTTTCAGCTGAAGAGATCTATCTGACAGTGAATACAATTAAACTCCTGGCTGGAACAGAGAGATTTAAATAAATTAAGTATTTTTGAATTAGTAATACTTAATTGCAAGGAATATGTGAGTATAGAGCACCTGGACTGTGTTAATCTAATTGAACTAATCCAATTGATTGAATTAATTTAATTGATTTAATTTATCTAATTGAATTAATTGTGTTATTTGTTATTCCTGCTCCTTTACGAAAAAGGCAAAAAGAAATTTTGTAAGAAGAAATTAAGAGGGAAACAAATTAGATTCTTCTTTCAGTAACAGCTCTGCCCAGGTGTAGCCACTTTATCCTTAACATGTAACTTTCTGGCAATTTATTACAACTTCAAATCCAAGGGACAACAATAGTTTCAGAAGATTGCAGATTCTCTTACCTCAGAAGTCTTTGGGAAACGACGCATAACCAGATATACTGTCTTCTCCAGGACTTTGTCCATATTGCTAGTCTAGGGTCTTAATCTACCCTTATTATATTTACATTACATTTAAAAATGAAGCTATTCAAAATAGACAGCAACAAAAATTTAGTCTTGAGTGTGCCTCATTTCCTGATCTTCGAAGCCCCTAATGATCACAGGTGATGAGCTACCCTGGGGACATGCACTTTTTGACAGGAAAAACAAGAAAGATGTCCACGTCTTGCTCCAACTTGTACCTTGTACAATCAGAAAGGAAAAAAATGTGTGTGTAAAAGGCCAGTGTATAAATTAGTGCCTGGAGCAACTTGAATTTGTGGCATAGCTACTCTCAAGGGAATGGCTTTACTATTTACTTTAATATACAATAAAGAAAGAGAATGATGACAAGCCAGTATTACATGGTATACTTGGTATGCAACTGCACAAAGTCAACAGCATCTAGCTTTTCACATTCCTTTTTTTTTTTCACGGCACAAATATGATTATCTTATTTCCCTTGCCTTAGATTTCATGTCTTTAAAACATCTTTGCTCTCTTGAGCCCACTCCCTATCACTATAATTTTCACTCCATGTATTTTTACTCCTAATAAACAGTAGACTGAGCATGATATTTTGTTTTGACTCAGGCTTCAATTAGAGCCATGGGTGTATTAGCACTATAGAAAATGGCGCAAATTCAACATTCAAAGCCAGTGACTAATTTCTACTTCAGTGACTTACACAAAACTCAGAGTGAACCTAAAATTAACATTCCTGCATCCTGAACATGAACACCCTTTCTTCTCTGCCTCCTCATAGCTACCTCACAGTCATATTGTATTACTGATTATAATGTTGCATTTATTTCAATCCTTTCCTGCAGAGGTTCCCCTGATATTTCAGAAAGTGTACACCAGATTCACCACTGGTTCACAATTACTTACTCTTATCTTTGCCAAAAAAGCATGAATTTTATGGTAAAGTGATGACCCAAGGCAAAATAATTTTCTCCCCCTCAAAATAGGTGAGGAACAGGGAATGAACTGGCCAAGCAATGACTACATGGAGAGGTTTGGTCTAACTGCTCTCTGAAGTAGGTAGCACTGGAGTGAAGCAGTGAATAGGTTTATGAAGGCCAGAAGAGCCTCTTGACCACAAATGCCTCACACCAAGAAGAACATGGATGGACTGCTTCTTCCCTTCTCCTGAGCTGAATGATAGCTCGGCTACTCCTGGCCCCTCGTGTGCCAGAAGTATTTGTCCTCACAAGCAACCATGGTTTATCTCATGTTCAAGAGGGCAACTGTGTAAAATAATTTCCCAACAGTCATTAAAATGCAATGTTATAATTAGTAGCACAATGTAACTATCAGGAAGATAAAAGCAGGCTGAGAAGTAAGAGTAATTTATATGGTTAAATACAGGAGGGAAAAATAACTGCTGTTATTCATCAGAAACACTAAACAGAGATTTTGCAAAGTTTGGAAGATGAGTATGTTCTTGACTCCGTAACTAGAAGGTAAAACTTAGGTAAGTGAAATGTAATTATCCAAGCTGGAATTTGGGCAAAACACCAATGTTAATTTGCAAAAAGTAACTTAAGATCTTTAATAGCCATTCATGCTATTAAAGGATTCTTATTTTGTATTTCAGCTGAAAGAAACACTTATAAGTGTAAAAAGGATCTTCAGTTTTCCCTCTCTCTTAAAAAAAAATAAAAATCAATATTTGAAAAAAAAAAGAAACCAAAACAAACAGTTCATCATTCTTAAATTGTTCCAATATTTTTCCAGTATACCTTCCTTGTTCCATCCACCTGCAAACATTTTTCATTATTTTTTTAATAGTTGTTCATTAAAGGTAGTTATTGCTACTCTAAAGTAAACGCCAGCTGGGAACCTGATACAACTAGTTCCTAGTAATGTAAGACATTATTCAGCCATTCCCATCTATGTGCTGCTAACTAAACAATCTCCATTTGAGTGGGCTAGCGCATGAAAATGTAGAGACTAGGCAGTCCCTGGGCACCACTAGTGTGTATTCCAGGGCAGGAGGAAAATGAGAGGCAGCAGGGTTTTCAAAGAACATAATCACAGGAGAAAATTATCACTGAATGTATTAGTCTAAAGCAATTGTACTGGGATAGTTGAAAAAACCTCAGAGAAAGAGACAGCATTGTCCCATTGTCAGTCAGTTGCTCTTTAGGAAATGACCCTTTGGGATTTTCAAAAGCTCTGATGATCCAGAATCCTCAAAGCTATTTTTGTTCCTGTGTATCACTGATTTTTTTTTTTTAAGTTTATAATTTTTTAAAATTATTATTATTTTTTAAATCAGTTTAGGTGCCTTAATGCTCCCAAATATGGATCAATGTGATCTGAAATACAGTAGCTTCTCTACCAAGGAAGAACTTTACTGTCCTATCTATTAGAAATTAGCTACTAAGTACCTATGAGGTTCAGGATACTAGAGTTTATTCTACTTTCTGGGAAGATTTAGTTGTTGACTTTAAAAGGAATGAAGTCAATCCACTACTATGTACGTCTGAAAATCTTAACTTTAGCAAATAAACCTACTAACCAGGGATAGAAGATTTCATTTGGGAACCCTTTTACCAGTGAGAGCAATCAGGACATTCAAGGCTTACTTTTGCCTATATTACCCATCCATTCAACTTTCTTATTTCTTTCAAAAAGGAAGCTTACACTTCTGTACTCTCCAAAATTTTTATTTTTTTTTTAAGAAGGCAGTCTTCTTTAAAAGCTGAATAGAAACAATTCAGCAAATAAATGTATTCTGCTTAGTTTTTAACATCTTTGTATCTAATGAACCTGCGGACGTGTTCACAGTTTCATGCTGCTTATGTACGGTACGCAGGAAAATGGTTCCTCCCCCCCAAAAAAAAATTATTATGGGCTTTAATTGTTGCCTCCTTATTTAGTAAAGTCAATATATGTATTTCTGTTTGCATTCATAATGTCAGCATGCTACTTCTTTAGAATAAAGTCGTTTGTGTCCAGAACATAGAGCTTTTTCCTATGCAAACAACTCAGCCATCAGCTTGTTCTGGGCAGTTGTTGCTTTATGCTGCTGGGCTGGAAATACAAAGTGACAACTTTTTCTTTTTTTCCTTCATTCTTTCCCCTTGAGAAATGTTTGTCAGTTTTCAAACTGTTCATTTCGACTTTCTTCTTCAAGTTAATGAAAACTGCTTTTAAAACTACTGACAATGGAAATAGCACAGTGAAGACTCTCCATGACTTAAAAGAATCATTTCCTAGACCAGTAATGAGTAAATTTCAGTCCAAAAGAAGGTCTGCTTAGGGAAACAAAGATGAATGTACTTATGTCTAGACAGGAGGCAAAATTCTCATATAGCTTTTGAATAGTACTAACTCAAAGGATGTGCACATCTGGGACATGACTTAAGGCTCACCCTGAATCTACCAAAAATTATTATCTAAAGCCTTACAAAAATAAATGGTATTTCTTGGTATTTCTATCTGGGAGAAGCCAAAATTTGCATGACTACAGCAAATCAGTTCAAACTGCAAGCACTGGTCTAGGTATCCTGAAACTTGGAGGGGCTGTAGTAGAAAGCAAAGAAAGGTCAGCTAGTTTCCTACAGACTTTTTCTCCTTTGCAACACGCTGAAGCTCATTATTGGCAAAACTTTTACACTGTCACCACTGACAAAATGTACCAGCCACAAGAGACTAGTAGCATGAAATAGTCTTGGGTTGAATTAAGTCGAACCTGGATGATATGTTATTTTCAGTGGTGTTTATATATTGAGTTAGAAGTTGAGGTGCCAAAACCCCTTACAATTCTAAATATTGTAAATATATAATTATAATGAGTTTTTGAGCTATATTTGTTTTAATTTTAATAATGTAGTATTAAATGTAGAATTTTTTTCTTTCTTGATTGACCTTTAGATCTGCTGATAACTAGGAAGCAAAATAGGTCTTGTTGGTTTTTTTCTTTCCCCCTTTGATTTATATTGATTTATCAGAACTCACTAGGGACTGAAAGACAAGGAAATGAAGATAAGGTTAAAGAAAGGTTAAGCACAGCATCAAAGCCCTTTTCACAAGCAAAGAGGTTTTATGTTCTTTAAAATCTCAGCTGCATACCCTGTACATAATAATCACTATAATTAAGTGATTGTCTCCCCTTTAAAAAAAAGTTGAAAATTACATAGAGGAATGATAAATTGTTAATTAATGATATGCTGTTCTGTTTCACTTCTGATTACACCTCCTGCTGGGCACGACTGGTCTATTTGCTTCTAATCTTTGCTGTGAATTCATTCAATTCCACGCCTTTCCGCTATCGTGTTTTCACCCTTCCTGACTTTCATGACTACCATATGGTACAGAGCCACTGTAGGTTCAATTGATAAATTCATGGTGTCAGTGTTCTGGGGAAAAGTTGCCAGCGATATCCAGTAGGCATGCTTGGATATGGTTCTCCCACCATGGAAATACCTAAAATTGCCATGAAAATGATGAACTTGTTCCTAAAAGGTTTTTTAAAATGAGGATATGGTAGAGTTCATCATGACCATGAAAAATTTATTACCTTAGCTCAAAGAAAGAATTATTTTATCCTCAAACTTGTCTTCTTCACAGAAGACCCATTTAAGATGGGTAGCTTGAAAATAACAGTTGGAAGGAATAATATTTTTTAATTCCATATTGAAAGTATAGGGTAGGGTATCTCATTTCACATATGGGTGTAAAAGGGCACAGTTCTAAAAAATGCATTTTTAACAATTTGAATTCAGACTAATTTCATGGACAAGCTCTATATTAATGTCAGAATAATACATGTTGTTCTTTGATCCCTGGTTATTTTCTGTGGATTTGATTGCTATGTACTTATTATTCTCTTTACCAGTTGGCAGGTATTTAACTTGACTTGGTCCTTTGAATTTAGACTGTGTCTCTCTCTGTCTCCTCCGTGATACTTCTAGCTGGCTGAGGAGGGGCACACTGGGACTCTAATATTATGAGTTTCTTCTCCAGCTACGCTATGTATGTGCCTTTTATAGGCTGAAGTATCACAGGTCAATTTTTAATTCACTTGTTCACTGTGATATGCATGGGGTCAAGGTAGCAGGGAATGGTCTCATTTATTGCCTCCCTTAGCTGTTGCCCTTTGCCAGTGTCACAGTTATGAAGGTGGCAGGAGGAGAAAGGCATGTTCTGTCTTTCCTGTAGAAGCTACTGTTTCCAGAGGATTTGCTTGCTCAGAAAAAAAAGAAGGGAAAAACAAAAAGGCAAAGCAAAACCGAAGATCAACCAAAAGACAGTTTCTATATGAAAAATTCAGGGGACTTGACGACTTTCTGAACCAAGAGTGAGTGAGCTGGACTCTCCAATTCCCAACACAGACTCACAAAAACCCAGTAGGTTGGGAGGAACCTCTGGAGGTCTCTAGTCCAAACTCCTGTTCAAAACAGGGTAACTTCACAGTTAGGGAGGTTTTTGGGGGCTGCATACTACTACCTGCCAGGGACAGGTGTACAAGCTGTCACTGTTCCAGCCTAAGAATCCAAACATATTTTTGAAAAGTGGCTACACTAGCAGTCAGGAGATACAGCTCATTTGAGAGAGGTTACAGTTAAGCTCTGCAGTGAGAAAGTGGGTCTAATTATATATTTTCAATGACAATACATTGCATACGGCTTATTACTTCGTAATTTTCTCATTGTCCCTATTAGCGTAAAATAAACATAGGACTGACAGCTTTCTCTGACTTACATGACTGGAAAATTGAGAAATGTTGCTTACAATTATGTCCTCCCACAGATGGAGAACTGTACTCTGGCACAGCAGCAGACTTCATGGGCAGGGACTTTGCCATTTTCCGAACTCTGGGGCATCATCATCCAATCAGAACAGAGCAGCATGACTCCCGGTGGCTAAATGGTATGTAAAATGTACATTTACCCAGTTACATTCATCTAGCTGTTAAAGACTAGCACACAGCTTTGTTCCAGCAACATCTGTGGCATATACACCCCTCTTTTATTTGGAGCAGAATTTTGTCTTAAACCAGTTAACCTAATCAAAAGTGATTTATAAAGAAGCATTTCTGTTTTAATTACATTGAGATTTGTGGAGTGTGATTAAATTTAAAACATATACAGACACTACGGCTAATGTGGTTGTGCCACAGAAGCAGATTGCTGTAGGGTGCAAGTTGCTCAAGGCTTGTGGAGGCATCAGCCACACGTCAACACAAAGTAGCTACAGAGCCTTGGGCAGGACTGTGCCTTGTACAGGCTTTAATTTTTGGCTGGGTTGAAGGGACTCTGACACTGTCCACCAAAGTCCAGCAGAAAGTGAATCAGCAGAGTTTCCTGAGCAGGCCAGAGTTGTCAATAGTTTGGAAAAAGTGAAAAGGGTCCTGGGTATTCCAAACTACTGGGTTTCAAAATATTCAATAGTTTAACAAGGCACAATAGCTTACATTATTGTATGGATATTACTAATCAGGCCTATAGTTGGTTGTTTGCATGTATGGGGAGAGAAGGATAGTTTCAGAGAAAATCTGGGTTTGGTTTCATGTACCAAAATACTTCAAAATGCATCTGAGTACTCTATACAAGTTCTACTGAAGTCAAAATTCCAATAACTTAAATGGATTTACACTTGGCTTTAGCTACTATACAAGGATATGAGCATTTTGGAAATGAGAATTCACCATTTGAAAAAGCTGACATTTGAATGCTAACAGTAGTTACTCTGAGTTAATTTGTATTTTAATTTTTGAAGAGTTGACTAGCCACTTTTGCTGTACACACTGCTTGCATCTGCACTCCTGTTTTTGAATTCACAAAGTATTTTGTTTGTAGATATTTTTCACTTCTAGCCACATTATTTATGTCTGTGCTGAGGTCTAGGTTTTCTTACATGGTTTTGCAACTTAGTGCAAACTGTTCATGCAAATTTTTAATGTGTAAGAGCAGACTATGTTTCAACAACACAGCTTCTTACTAGCAACAGTCAGGAACTTCTAGTATCATACTGGTTATCATATTAGCTGTATATACAATTTATAACAAAACCAATCCCTGACTCGTAATTAAAACCATAAAATGTTATTGCAGGTTGGATAAACAACTCTATATATGATATATGCATTGGATATATGTATCAGATAAATGTGTATATGATGAGTTGTTTGAATCTGTCATAAAATCATATTTTACTATGACAAGTTGTATGAATCTGATTCTTGTCCTGTTAAATTTAGTTTTGTCATAATTCACATAGACTACTGTGAGGACAGATTCAGGTCTATCACATTTCAGTTCTACAGTCTGTGCTTGCCCAGTAACCCAGAAATATTGCTCATTGGTTTATTTTATTATAATAATAGACAAGATTTCTGGACTTCAGGAGTCAGTAAAGTACAAGGGTTACAGACATACATATCCATCTATCTTGGTACCTGGTAGAGTAATAATATGTTAAAGATAACACAACACCCACTTTTGTTATGATAGTCATGATGAAATAAAGTCCAATCATGCAAGCAAAATCTGCTTTTGTGCAGTAGATTTGCACAATGACAGCTGAGTCAGGAGGATTTATGCAGTGGGAAAGCACAGCCATTGTCCACAGCCCCTGTACTTCATCGTTGAAAATGTGTCATTCCTTTGTGGATTCGGTTATCAGTCTTTCAGCACTAAATGTGGGAAATGCTTTTCCCAAATTAGCACTAAGGTTGCATCTGACAGGGTGCAGAAATCACAAGTGCTTTGTGCTCAAGATGGGGAGGAGAAGACAGTTGCACATAAAGAGCTGACAAACCTCAAGCTCTCTAGAATTAAAGTATCATCCAAAATGAGCATAAAAGTAGGAAGGCAGCATTTATCGTAGGACAGGGTGAAGATGATTTTCAACTCTAAGTGTAGTTCTTACACTATATTCCTGTATGGAAAGTTTCAAGTTAATTTAAAAAAAGAATCAAACTGAGGCCTTTAGAAATGATTCTCATAACTGTCTATAATTTAATAGACAATGATCCTTACGCACATTTTTGAAAACTATCTCTCCATTGCAACTTGATAAGTTGACATTCCTAATATGGAAAGGTTGGCTTAAAATCTGTACTACAACGTTCCTATTAAAGGCTCTAAGACTTTACTGTTAATTTCCCAGTGATAAGGTCCTGGCAGCCTTTCCACACAGGACTCCTAATTTCAGCATCTAACAGGGAAATCCAAAAATTATAATTATTTGGATTTGAAACTCTGCAGGCATGCCAGGCCTTTGATAATTTTTTTTTTTTTTTTCATTTGTATCTTTTAAATATAATTGTAAAAGAAGCTTTATGTTTTCATGTATTTAAAGTGGATATACTTTTAATGAAATAAGCTCTTACTGAAGGATGAGGTGTAATCTACTTTCTTAAAGATCTGTATAAACTAGTTTTGAACCTTAAGTTTGCAGCGCTTTATACATTTTTTAGTTAAAGACATGGATTGCTATGTAGTGGTGGGTTTGCTTTTCTAGTTGCTTTCTACAGTGTGCTTAGCCTCAGGTTAAAAACCACTATTCTATGGACATATATTGAAATCTGGATAAGAACAGTAGTTCTGATCAAACTCTCAAAGAGAAATCCTCATCCCCTTGGAGTTTAATAGCTAGATGGTGAGGCATCCAGTTTATAAGTCCTTGCTAATGTTTACTTCGTTCAGAGCAGGAACTTCAAACTGCTTTTCCCATATTAAGGCTAAGGTCAGAGCTGACAGGGTAGAGAAAACACAGCTGTTTGGTACTAAAAATGGAGAGGAGAAGGCATTAAGAACTTGCAAACTTTTCCTAGAATTTAAATATCATCCTGAACTGGTGTAAACATTGCACAGAGTGATTAAGTTTTTTGGATTTAAGTACGGATAGAGTTCCTTTTTCACAGTGAGAACAATCAGCCATTGGAATAATCTCTGCAGGGAAGTGGTGGATTCCTCAACATTGGACGCTTTTAAGATTCACCAGGACAGGGTGCTGGGCCATCTTGTCTAGACTGTGCTTTTGCCAAGAAAGGTTGGACCAGATGATCTTTGAGGTCCCTTCCAACCTGGTATTCTATGATTCTATGATTCCTACAGAGATCACACAGTCACTTTTTGGAGATGCTCTACCTTTCCTAAGAAGTTAAATGTTGCTGGGAAGAGAGCTTTGAACTGTGCCCAGCCCAAGAGACGGTGCTGACCAGCAGCTCTTGAAGACTTTTTAAGTCTTTTAAAGACATTAAATACTCACAGGCTTCTAAAGACATTCCATTTTGTATAAATAATTAAACAGTCACCAAGCCAAATAAAGCAAGGGAGACTGATTCTATAGCCATGTAGTTGGGGCATTCATCTAGAAGGTAGGGAACAATACATCAGTCACTGTAGCATTACAATATTTAATTATTGATACAGAGTTGGCCAGATGTGACATGAAGGCATTTGCAAAAACACAGTAAAATAAGTTGGTGCTCAGGGAAGTCATCTTGGATACGAAAAGCCCAGACTGAATCATGTACTTTGTTACAAGCCATGTGCATACTCACCCTGGATATTATTGGCTCCTCTGGTAAGTGCATGGAGTTTATCTGCACAAAAAGCTTTGACAGTCTTAGCTGGTCCCAGTGAGGGTCAAGAAAAGTTTTGAACTCTCAGAAAAAAAAATCTTGAAATTGAGAAAACATCTCCTGTCCAGCTTTACTATAAATAGCAGTGGCTTTGATGTTACACATATATCTTACAGAGTCTTGCCTATAGGCAAAACCCATGTTTTCCTTTAAATGTGCCATTGCCTCTTACAGTTCAGAGCCATCAGAAGTCAGTGTTATTTAAAGAAAGCACAGATAGAGGTCCTGCTTCTGTGAACCACTTCAGCAATAAAAAAAGATGAGTAGGAGGCCCGAGCAGGTCAGAGCAGCTTCCCCTGGTACCAGCAGTTCCCTGGTGAGCTACACACAATGTTTGCTGTACACCGTCCGTGGCAGCGTTCATGCAAGGGCTGAGGGCATGGCTGGAGGCAAGAAGGCAGAAATGGCAGTGCGGTGTACCAAAGCAAATGCTAAGCAATGCAAAAGCAATGTACTGAAGGCAGTTTCCAAGCTGAAGATTAGGGGAGTGGAAGGAAAGCTTGGAGCCACTCTCATCTTCCCTGACTTGAGCACAGAGGGATCTTGCCTTAAATTGTTAACATTTTGTAAAATGAATAATCATAAACATTTATTTTAAAAGCAAAACAGAGTTGGGCTGCAGAAGATTTGAAGGGAAATTAAATCACAAAAGCTGCATTAAGGTAGTATTATGAATCTGGTTTGCACCCCAGAAAAGTGAAGAAATACTGGTCTTGCTCACCCTCTTTACTAGACCTGGGGTTAAGAGAGACTGTCAGTCTGGATTTCGAGCCTTGGCTTGGAATTTCCTTGCTTTTTATGGGTTTAAACCAGTTCTATGATATTATTTTAGCATACTTTCCATGGCTTAATTTTTAAAGTGGGGTAGTAGCTGTGCTTAGTCCCCCAGGGTTATTGTCCTTGGTAATCTTTACTTTACGGTTACATAAACAGCTGAGAATTATAGAAGCTGAGCGACTGTTCAATAAAAAAGAAAATGCCCTCTTAAATTTCACAGGCTCCAAGGCAGGAAACAAGGACTTGATACTCTCCTGGCATTCATACAGAACTTTAGCCGTCACTTTATGTTGTTCCCACTTATGGTAGTTAGTAGGATGTCCCAGCACTGGCAATATACACACATAATTTTGAATATATATGTATTGCACAGTAGAGGAATGTATGGCAAGAGAAAGACAAGATTGCAGCTAGTTTATAGGATTTTTACCTCTCTAATAAAAATGTATTAGATGTGTCAAGAAGTTTAGAAATTAGTATTTGTTCTCTTGCAACTACTTTT